GACCGGGAGCGCAGGGTACATATCCCGCCTCGCAGGTGCCGAGCGGGGTGCGCGTGGAGCAAGGGGGAGCGGAGAGCCGCCCGCCGCCCGCCGCCTCCCTGCTCGCCGCCCGCGGGACCGGCCGCGAGGACCGCGGGCTCCGTGGGGACCGGGACGCGACTCCCCGGGGAACGCGGAGGGCTCGGCGCCCAGAGGCGGAGACCGCGGGTGGCGGCCCCCGCGGCCTCGGGCCGGGCCTGGGAGACCAGCCACGTTCCTGCTCCTACCGGCGAGCGGGTGGGTGGGCAGGGGCGCGGCTGGGCTCTCGGGCTGTGCCCCCCAATCGGTGTCCGAACCCGGAGCAAAGCCAGGCTCCTGCCCGCCCTCCTGCCCGCCCGCGGGGAAGCGGACCTGCAGAGCCACTTTGCTGTGTGTGTGCGCGAGTGTCTGTGTGCATGTGAGTGTGTGCAAGTGTCTGTGTGCATGCGAGTGTGTCTGTGCATGCGAGTGTGTGCGAGTGTGTGTGCATGTGTGGGTGAATGTGGAGTGGGGTGGGGTGAGGGCTCTGGAAGGAGGGCAGGCTACAGGAGGGCAGTAAAGGTTTAGGGACCGGCACAAATGACACCGTATATTAGCACCATGATGAGGGTCCTCATGATGTTGAGGAATCGGAGGGAGGGAAACACACCAAAGCCGTTCTTAGTTGTGATCATGTCGTTGTTAAGACACGGACCGCGGCCTGCTGTGTGTCTGGCGCCAACAGGGTCCCAGGCAGGTGGGCACCCCTCGGAGACCAAGCTCCTGTGCTCAGCTCGCTGCTCCCTGTCACCTTGGTTCTAACCAGGAAGGTGCCTGCATTGCGTTCTAGCTCTGCCACTTGTAGGGGTGTTGGTTTTAAAGCAGATTTTTCAGATCCAGCAGACATTTACGCGGGGACAGTGTCTAAGGCTAAGTGCACCTTCTGGTTCCAGACTCCCTGGGTGTACGCCCTGCGACGTCCCAGTCTGTGACCGTGGACAGGACTCACCTCCCAGTCTGTGACCATGGACAGGCCTCACCTCCCAGTCTGTGACCGTGGACAGGCCTCACCTCCCAGTCTGTGACCGTGGACAGGCCTCACCTCCCAGTCTGTGACCGTGGACAGGCCTCACCTCCCAGTCTGTGACCGTGGACAGGCCTCACCTCCCAGTCTGTGACCGTGGACAGGCCTCGGTTTCCCCGCTGCCCAGCGAGTGAAGGCATCCGATGGATTGCTGCGGACAGGCCTCACCTCCCAGTCTGTGACCGTGGACAGGACTCACCTCCCAGTCTGTGACCGTGGACAGGACTCACCTCCCAGTCTGTGACCGTGGACAGGACTCACCTCCCAGTCTGTGACCGTGGACAGGCCTCACCTCCCAGTCTGTGACCGTGGACAGGCCTCACCTCCCAGTCTGTGACCGTGGACAGGCCTCGGTTTCCCCGCTGCCCAGCGAGTGAAGGCATCCGATGGATTGCTGCAAGGGCTACAGGAGTTAAAACGCAGGAAGCACTCTGCACAGGGCGGTGCTCAGTAAGTGTGACTGTCGTCGTTACTGGACGTCTACCATGTCAGTGCTTCCCAAACCGCTGCATCCCAGCGCCAGTGGCCGACGGCAGCATTGTCTGGCCCAGGGGGGAGACAGTGGGACAAGTAGCTCAGCACGCTGCTCAGGAACACCAAGTCCTTTTCTGGGCATCCTCATGGGGCTAGCCCAGCCCTAACCTCCAAGAAACCCCCATTTTGTGGGGATGGTTGGAATCCCAGGCCGGCAGAATGCATCCGTCATGGAGTTCAGAGCAGTGAGGGCGTTTCTCCCCCTCATTGGAATGAGATAACCTAGAACAGTGGTTGGCAAACTGCGGCTCGAGAGCCACATGCGGCTCTTTGGCCCCTTGAGTGTGGCTCTTCCACAAAATACCATGTGCGGGCCCTCGCGTACAGTGCGATTGAAACTCTGTGGCCCACTCGCAGAAGTCAGTATTTTGTGGAAGAGCCACACTCAAGGGGCCAAAGAGCCGTGTGTGGCTCTCGAGCCGCAGTTTGCTGACCACTGACCTAGAAGACGCCTGTGTAGGGCACTGGCCCCGAAGTGACACGTTCAGGGTAAGGGCTGGTCATTAGAAAGCCCTGTCCAGCCTGGCCGGCGTGGCTCCATGGTTGAGCGTCGACCTATGACCCAGGAGGCCATGGTTTGATTCCCAGTCAGGGCACAGGCCCGGGTTGTGGGCTCGATCCCCAGTGTGGGGCGTGCAGGAGGCAGCCGGTTCATGATTCTCTCATCACTGATGATTCTATCTCTCCCTCTCCTTTCCTCTGTGAAATCAATAAAATATATATTAAAAAAAACAAACTACCCTTGCAAAATGGGAAGATAAGTGGGGACCATTTTGGATTTTAGATCATTAAAAGCAGAGAGGCTAACCCAGTGATGGCGAACCTTTTGAGCTCGGCGTGTCAGCATTTTGAAAAACCCTAACTTAACTCTGGTGCCGTGTCACATATAGAAATTTTTTGATATTTGCAACCATAGTAAAACAAAGACTTATATTTTTGATATTTATTTCATATATTTAAATGCCATTTAACAAAGAAAAATCAACCAAAAAATGAGTTCGCCATCACTGGGCTAACCTGAGGACACGGGTTGGCTGAGAGTAGGTGATGAACAGGTGAGGGCACGCTGTGCCTGCCTGGCTAGTTGCTGTCGTGTGGCCCTGACCAGGGCACCCGGGCCTCCGTGCCTGTGCCCAGCTGGGTCCCTGAAACTCTGTGTCAGCCTCAGCACTGTCCCCAGGTTCTGCGTCCGCCCGTGATTTCAGCATCTGCAGTGATGACTCAGTCAGCACCTGACCCACGGTCTCCCATCCTTCTCAACAGGGATCTTCAGCTTCACGCTGAATCCGAAACCCACAGCTGCGGCCACACCTCGGATCCAGTCATCAGGGGAGTGGATGCCACTGCGCAGGTTGGGCTGTGAGTTGGCTTCTCTCCCCACCCCGCCCGCCCACTGCCTCTCCTCCCCTTGAGCCTGCGCCTTGTCCTCTGTGACCTCGAGTCTTTGCTCTCACCCGGATCACGGCTTCCTCCCTCCTTGTATTTACCGAACGCGGAGCTCTCTTGCCGACCATGGACCTGACTCTCGCTAGTACCTTCGTTCCGTGACCTTCAGCCAAGGTGACGGCAGCAATGGCGTTTCCTGTTTCCCTTTCCCGGGAACCCAGTCGGCCCCAGCCCAACCCTTCCTCCCGGCGCAGACCCTGCTTTCATTTTTCCCTGGAAAAACCAAGACCATCACTTGTGAGCGTCCTTCACGTTTCCCCATTTTCGGAGGCAACTATAGGTTGATCCTTCCCCTCATCCTTTTCAAAGGGTTCCTCCTTCTGCGTCTTGGTTCTACAGCTCCCGAGTTCAGCTCCCTCGTGTTAGCTTTCTCGCCGTTAGCATGAAACACCTGAGAGAACACACTGAAGCCCTAGCCGGTGTGGCTCAGTGGATAGAGCGTCGGCCTGCGGACTGAAGGGTCCAGGGTTCGATTCCGGTCTAGAGCACGTGCCTGGGTTGCGGGCTCCATCCCCAGTGGAGTGCATGCAGGAGGCAGCCGATTAATGATTCTCATTAATGTTTCTATCTCTCTCTCCCTTCCTTTCTGAAATCAATAAAAATATATTTAAAAAAAAAAACCCAAACAAAACAAAACACACTGAAATGACAACCTCAGCAGTGAGTCGGAGGCGGCCGCTCGCAGACGGCAAAGCCTTGGTGACCTACTAGCCCCCGTTCGCCGAACAGAACTGCACGTGTGTCATCAGTTCAACATACGTCTCAGGGTGAGGCCGTGCCGACCACACTGCGATCTACGCAGTCGAGTGAGTTTGAGATGAAATAGGAACTTAAGTCAGGTTGAAACTGGATTTCCAAGCCAGACACCAGGAAAAACCCAGCTCATCACAACTAAGCTAAGGACACGAGGACTCCGCTGCAAACATTTCACTGAAGAGAATAGATACGCGGAAGCACAGGCCACGGTGCAACTGGGAAACGCTCACAGACGGAACGCAGCCACGTAACTGGCACCCCGATCGGGGACCAGCACGCGACCAGCACCCCAAAGGCCCCGCATTACGGGGAGGCCACTGGTGACCCCCATCCTGACGTCTCCCCGCAGCTTCACGGCTCTCACGGTAAAGTCGGGAAGCTTCCCAGTGTTGTCAGCGGTCGCTCGCTGTGTTTCATCTCGCTCGGTGACTGTCGAGAGCAGAGCTCAGGTGAGACACGCCGCTCTGCGCAGAGGTTAAACCCAGGTGAGGAGTCCAGCTCCTCCTCCCTCTGACCTCTGGGAGCCCGGCCAGGGGCCTGGCCTGGTGACCTTGCCTAGGAGGGCCGGCCCTGGCTGCAGCCTGGAGTGGCCGGCTGGCTCCAGAACCCCCTCCCCGGGATTTGGACCCCCTCCCCGGGATTTGGACCCCCTCCCCCCGGGAGCCCGGACACTCGCTCTGTTAACTCTGACACACGAATGCAGAGGCAGGTGCTCATCTCAGTTGACTCTCATCTGAAAGAACTCGATTCAGTGACAAAGCAGATTCAGTGACAAGCAGGCTCCTGCCTGGAGCCCGTAGGTCCAGAGAGCCAGGCAGGTGAGAACAATGTTCCTTCTGTGGACGGCGCCCGGTGGCCGGCCCTGCCTGGGCTGATGGGGCAGCACTCGCTGCGCTGGAGGACGGCTCAGGCAGGGGTCCGTCCCCTCGGGGAGCCGGGCCGAGGAGCGGGACTGTTGTTCCCAAGAGCCTGCTTTTTCTAAAGAACCGCTAGCTCTTTCCTCCGACCGGTTCTGGGTTCGCCTCGCCGTGTCCACGTGTGCAGACTCCTGCCTGAATCCTTTCATTTACCTCTGGCTGCGGCCGCCAGGCTCCTTCTGAGCTCGTTCAACAATCAGACATGGGGCCTTGGTTTGAACCCCCATGGGAAGTGGGGATTGGGGCGAACCCTAGCACTGAGGAGGTTTCTTGCTCAGGGTTAAGGCATAACTAAGGGAAAGACAGGCCTGTCCCCCTTTTTCTTGGGAACCGGAGACACACCGACCGCTCAGCACAGGGTCCGAGCGGGAGGGGAGGGGTTCTCACTGCCTTACGTTGGCGGAGACCGTCCGCACGCAGAACATGCACATGCGCCGTGGGCCGCGGGCGGCGGTGACTAAGTGGGAGTCGGCCCCGGAGTCCTGCTCTGCACTTCCTGGCTGCGCGGCCTTGGCAGGTCCCCTCATTCCCTGCATTCCTCCGCCCGGATGGCTCCGTGGGGCGGGAGCAGCCCTGGCCGGCACAGGGTGGCCCGAGGCCAGATGCGAGGAAGCAGGGAGGGCTTGCACAGCTCAGCTCAGCGCCCGGCTGCTGCGGTCCAACGCGGGGCTTTCTGGCCGACGGTGTGGCTGTGGCTGTGGCGGGAGGGAAGGGAGTGGGGT